TTAAATATTTTATAAATTGGTGCAAAATAAATAATATATATGTATAATACATATACATAATACACATATGTTTGTATATTTATATTTTCTAATATTATGTGAAATATAAATACTTCCTTATAAAAATAAAAAATATTACAATTATTTTAATTAACAATTATTTTAATTAGTTTAACATATTTAAGTTATTATATATGCATATAAACGCGTTATTACATATAAATAATTTTAACTTTTATAGAGTACCAATTTTAACACAATATTTTGTAATTCATTCATCGAATTGATTGTCGAATTAATTTTACAACAAACTAAATAAAATAATGTGACTTGAGATCCTAGACATATTTACATAACGGAAATTTTTAAAATTATTATAATGTTGATATTAAAATTTTCTTATAAAAAACAGATCTTTGATATTTATAATTAATGTATACTTTTAAAAGATTTTAATGCAAATAATTTTTAAAACATATCGAACAATAAAGAAATATGTACATGGAAAAACACAACTATAAGCGTTGGTACATCACGCGATAAAATGCACACAATATATAAATATCTTATAATTATTACTAAAATTTATTGTAACTTCTTAGATTGCATGTCATTTTTTATTTCTTATTTAACGCAATTAAAAAAGTATACTATTAGAGAGATTTTCGGGTACTGATAAACCGACGGAAATTAAATTGAACAAATTAGAGAAAAAATTGTTAATACATATATCATAGATCTATTTTGTCATAGAGAAAAAAAAATTTGTCTTCAAGCTACTATAATGCTCACGCTACTTGAGTACACATAACTTTTAAAATTTGTTCACTTGCTTCTTCACTTGCTCACATTAATGAATATGAAAGATGATAGTATTGAGATTCTCCTAAGTAATTTTAGTGTAGACAATTAAACATCATAATCAGACACATTTATTCACGAATCCAGCTCATTAGATGATTTGACAATACAAATAAAAAAGTACGCATTTATATTACGAAAAATCTATAAATATTCGCGGAAGAAGAGAAGAAATGACGATGTAAAAACGAAAAAAGAGAAAAAACGAGTTATAAAAGAATAATAATGAGCACACATTATCGTCGATAACGAGTATTACAATATGGAATATGTAAAATAATGAATAAATTCTTTTCTTTTCGATTATCAAATCAGATATATCCAATGTCTATTCATTCAAGATAAATACAAATAGGTTTTTTTACATCGATGAATATATTTATACAAAATATTTCAATTCGATATCGACAGCTTAGCATACACTCAATGTATCTTTGAAAGGATTTCCTAGAATTTCTATTACAATACAAACATTTCTTATTTCATTTCTTCTTTTTGTAATACTCCTTTCATCACAGCTCTCGTAATCATACAAACAAAGCAGATACTATCAATAATGTATGATCCGCATATTTGTTTGAATATACTAAGCAATCTCAATCATTTATACAATTTTAAAATTTCTGTTACCCTATCCAAATTATCACGCTGTAAACTAACTATTATGTTAAGTGTATTACACTATTATAATTACAATTAGTATTATAATATCGATGTTATAATACTATTAATTAGTGTATACTAACATCATGACTAATCATAAGTACAACTTTTTGATGCGTTGCGATAAAAAGAAGCAGGAAATTACGGTGGAAAAATAATAAATTTTAAAACGAACACTCAATTATTCACATGTTGGAAGGATTATTTTTAATTACATTCTCACTTGTTCTTTTTTGAATCTCCTTTTGTAGCATTTCCTTCATCTTAGCTTTTTCAATATCTTATTCCTTTCGTAAATTGTCTTTAATTTTTCGTGTGTCATTTAACATTTCTGTTGCAGCTTCCTGGCACGTGTAATAAACGATGCGTTATTCGGAAATATTTTTGGATTTTACGGTTTTACTCGAAATTTGTAGAAATACGGGATATGGTCCAGGTAATGAGATCGTTGCAATACATGCTCAATTCTTGCCACGTTTACCGGTCTGTCGAGCTCATCTCGTAAGATCAGCGTCCAGCAAGCCAATAAGCCGATGTATTAACCACGATTAACGCACGAGGGATGTGGGCAATAGCGCCCCAGAAAGTGGATTGCCTCACGTCGCGTCTATCAGCCGCGTGATTTGCACACTTGATGTGACACATACTATTGTGATTCGCAGAGTTCTTGTGTGTCGCAGAGTATTGTGGTTATGAAGACTTCGTCGTTAGACGCGTATCAAATGTGATACGAGAAGCTGATCACATTCGCAATGATCTCACTATCGGTGCCGTGTCTATTAAATCGAGCATATTACATCGATTACATTTCGTTTGCTCAATCCGCACTTTTGTTTTGCTCGTGCCACGGAAGAACTGCAACAAAGACGAAGTGATTCACTACAAATTGATAAGATTTTTATGTGTGTAAAATGCGATATTAGAGATTTAATGCAGAATTATAGAATTTTTTGTATTAGTAGTATGGTAACCTATTTTTTATAATTAATTTTTTGTGTTTGAAAATATTTATAGTCGCTGTAATTAATTTATGTCGAAGTCATTACTACCCGGAAACTGGATGTAATACATGAAGTTCTGATTTAAATTCTGTGTTTGTAATAGAAACTTTTTGATTTTCTGCAATGCGATAAAGAAATGTCCCACCATGAAAATATTATTATTATATTTTTTTCATCTATATCTTTTCAAGGTTTTTATTTTTCACTTATATTTTTTGTTTTCTTCATAGATTACTCAGCAATTATAATTTTTAAAAAATTATAATTCCTATAATGCAATTACCCTTCATATTATTTACATTTTTTTGCCCACATTTTGTTTTTATATTGCCATTTCTTTGTTTCGTCAGTTTTTTTTATGTTCCTTCTCCATAATCGATTAATTATTTTATTAGTTTTTCCTCACAGTTGAATTATTTACACTTTTACAGCTTTATAAGCTATGTTACCACACACATTACCGTACACATTAAATAATAATAAATAGTAAATGAATTTGAACACATGAATTTTATGAGTGACTGTGAACATTTTTCTTTATTTATGTACTTGCATGCCGTTATATTCTAAATATTCTAATAGGCGGAGTATTTGAATGATTTTCTTTTTTTTTCTTATTCTTAATTTTAAAATTTTCTCTCTTGCATTGTCTTACTTCCGGTTTTGTTGCTGGTAAGTAACAGCTTTGTAATAGCAATTTTGCTGACGTCTAATCATTTGCAAGCTACTATTTATTATTGACTATTGTATTATATTTTATTTTATTTCATTTTTTTTATGTCTACTATAACTTATTGTATATTTTATGTCTATTACTTTATTAACATGTAGTCTTTTTCATAGTGCTTTGCAATGAATTAAATTAAATTAAATTTTTTGCTGTTTTTTTGTATAATTTGTTTTACAATATAATGTACATATTTTTAATATACTATATTGTGTGAAAAAGTAATCTTGATCAAATAAGAAATACTATCATATATTCATATCCACGCATGGATTTGTAGATATAGTTATATTTATTTGTGCAGTAATAATTATTATATTACATATAATAATTAATATATATATAATCAGTTATTATATTATAATAAAGCGCGAAACATTTGTTTCTTTGGGATCTCATGTTATTTATTTTATGTATTTTGTTTGATGTACTTTGAAAATGCGTATGTATTTTTATATTGTCATGATCAGTTTTGCGTTGAAAAATGTACTATTATTTTACTATATATTGATTTTTTTATTACTTAGAATTTTATTAGCTTTATTGTAACATACGAGCAATAGACATATACATCGACTTGCGTATTTAATTTGAATCGAACGTCAACATAATATTGTCAATGATAATAATCGACTAAATAAGGATTTTTTCTTCTTTTTGATTTTTGATCAAAATGCAATTATATTATGGCCAGATTCAACTAAGGTAAGTTCAATTTGATCCGAAGAAGGAAAAAGCAATATGACACAAAGAATAAGGTAAGTGGTCAATATTGATCACATGATGTATAAGGTAATGTACAAAGTAGTTTATTTATTTGCTTAATTTTTTCCTATTTTCTCATGTATATTTTTCCCTTTTTTGTCATATATGTGCGAGATTGAAAATATCTTATTTAAATTCTAATCGAGCACGTATTGAAACTGCAATTTTTCTCAGATGTCTTGCTCGGGTAGATTTCGAGTATCCTGCTGAATTCACTAATAGAGAATTAATAACTCGCGTATCGCGTATCGGTTTTAATTAAAGATTTTCTTTATTAAGTTAAAATATACGATATATAAAAAAATGGATAGAAGAAAATGTGGACAAATAGAAATATAGATTGGAATACAAGTAGGTAGGAATTAGGAACAGATGGAGATTATAATTTTATAAGATTGAAAAATTGTATGTATAGACAAAATAATAATTTAAATATAATAATAACAAAATAATAATTTAAATATAATAAATATGAGGATATATTTATTATTATTATATAATAATTATCATATTAAATATTGAATAATTTTATATTATTTGAATGTAATAATAACAGAGATAATATTGTATTTATCGTTGTTATATTTATAATATCAATTAAAAATTATGTTATTCATTTTTAATGAATTTTTAAAGAGATATTATAGCATATTATTGTAAATACTACATTATATGTATTATATTTGTAATTCATGTAATAATAATGTTATGTTATGTGTATGTTATTGTACATACTATGTAATTTATGACATTTATGTGATAATAATTGTAAATAATGTTAATTATTGTAATCGGATGCGTTCAATAAGACAGAGATCAAAGCATATTTGATAAACATTCATTTTGAGAAATTTTTAAAAATGTTTTTGTTAGATATATCAAAAGATTATTAATAAATTTGGTACATATTTTATTCAAAATTTCGTATTAATGGTTATAGTTTTTGTAGTATATCTATTATAACACATAATTATAGATGTAACTGTGATGTGTGTGTGTGTGTGTGTGTGTGTGTGTGTGTGTGTGTGTGTGTGTGTGTGTGTGTGTG